TATATATATATATATATATATATATATATATATATATATATATATATATATATATATATATATACACACACATCTATAAATATATATTATTAAAAAAAAATCTCTATTAGTAATGATAATAATAACAATAATATATTCATAATTATATTTTTTATCAAGTAATTATGATTCTATTAATTATTATATATTGAAGTTTTTTAAATTTTCTAATATAATCTTATTATATTGATGATACATTTTTTAAGAATTTTAAATATGTTACTATTTGTCATACATAATTATAGGTGCATATATATGTATGTGTGTGTGTATATATATATATATATATATATATATATATATGTATATATATTGTTGTCTTCTAAGAAATGAATCCTCTAAAAACTAACAACCTCTGGTAATAAGTTAAAATTTTGGAAACCAATTCCAACTTGTATCATAGTATCTAGTATTGTTTGTTGTTTTGTAATAATGAATAACTCCTAAAGATTAATATTAAGTTAAAATAGATGATATTAATTACTATAAGATAAATTATATAGCTTATCATATTTTATCTACATATTTAAAATTAATCTATTTATGATAGTTTGTTTGTATTTTTAAATATATTAAAAATTAAATTGGTATTAATAAAAATATTAAAAAATATTAATTTTTTTCTAAATATATTTTATGATAAGCTATATAATTTATTATTTTACGATAAGTTATACTATTTGAATGTCATATTTTATCTATATATTAAAAATTAATCCATTGTACTACATAAGTTATATAAGCATGGTTTCTTTATAAGCTTGGGATTAAAACTTAACAATTTTGTAGTTAAAAAAATTCAAAGTCTAACATTGAATTTGATTTGGTGTTGCTTGAGTTAAGAAGACTTAATATCTATAAATTGTAGATCTATTTATTTTTTTTGAATAAGTCATAAATTCAAATTGTATTGTGCAATATCTAATGAAAATAATAATTATTAGAATAAAAAATTATTTAATTCACATTCCCAAAAAGACAACTTTTTTTTTACCATAAAATTTAGACTTTATTTTAAAATCTATATTTATGATTTATAAAAATTCTTTTACATTATATTCTAGCTAATTTAGATGAGAGCATTCTTGATTGATCAAAAAATTTGATCATAGTGTAGTCTTTTTTGCTATTGGCAAACACAATGCAATTTGATTTGACTTGATTTTATTGATATGAACTTTATATTTTCTACTCTTTTTTTATATTGAACTAAAAATTAAGAAGTAACCATGATAAAATTATTGTTTTTAGATTTTTAAAGCTCTACTTAATTATTAGATTTAGAAGATGGAATGATTCTTTTTATTATTAACTATATATATATATATATATATATATATATATATATATATATATATATATATATTTTTAAAAGGTTAAAGACTAAAAATATCTAAATACATCTAATGTGATCATTTATATTAAATGCTTGTCTAGCATCTTTTAAAATTAAATGATATTGGAGTTTTTTAAATACATCTTTTATTTTTTATTTTTTTATTATGAGTATAAAATCATCCACATATTGGCATATTATTAGTTGATGAAAATTATATAGAATTACAATGCTTTTTAATATTTTTGCTTTAATTGCTTCTTGAATAGTTGCATCCTATGTTAATATTTGGCTAAAGCATTTTTTTTTAATTTTTAAGTCTTTGTACTATATGATTTATTATTTTAATTAAAAATAATATTTTATTTAGAAAAAATATTATAAATATAATTTTATGACTTAAGAGCCTTTATTAAATAAGTTTATCCATGCACATTATTTAAAAAGATATTAAATCTTATTTTATATTATATATTGAATAAATATAATTAAGATTGAGATTTTATAGAAAAAATAATATTGAAATAAAAAAATAATTTTTTAAAAATCTAATAAATAATTTTATTTTTTAATAAAAATTTAATTATTTTAAATAAAAAATATCAAACTTTATATTAAGATTAAAAATAATATTCAACTTTTTATTTGCACAATTTTTTTATAATATTATTAAGTTTTTTATTTGGCTTTTAAATATAAAAAATTAGTATCAACTATAAAATATTACTATATCTTTAATATATCTTAAATAATAGTTTTATTTATAAATTAGATGCTTATTATACCTATAATTAATTTATTTTGGAACTTCAAAAAATAAATTTAAGTATATATATATCAAGGATATGAATCTCAAAAAATAAAAAGGTCAATATACTCTTGTGTCACTTGAAGATGATATAATATTAAACTAGAATGGCTATTGCCAAAGTCAGAAAGACTAGAAAGTCTTGGAAAAAGACTAAGAACTAAAAAGGCATTGATAAAAGTGAAGAAGGCTTCACTCTTGCCTCCATATATATTGTATAACTAGGATCTATATGGCAATATTCTATAGGACCTCCATCACATGTTCACTTTGGTAAATACATATCTTAACTTGCAACACAAGTTATCTATACGTGTGCCTCATAGTTAGCTTGTTCCACAAGCTACTAACATGTGAAACAA